AGGCTATTTTTGTGGCAATGAAACGGTTTTGAAGGTTAGGCATAGTCTATTGTTCATTGGTGATTATGAACGTCTTTTTACATTTAATTTATGAGGTTTACGTCTATGGGTGAATTTGACTGCGACAATGTTTCAAAATTAGGAAGGGAAGCTGTGATTATTTGATTATGTAGACGCTTCGCCTCTGTTTACTACCCTTATGTCTTTTTTTCAATGTTTCTTTTCTTCCTCTAATCTCCTGTTACATATTCTGAGTGATAGTTTCGGCTATTTCTACTCTACTTACTGCCTCGTCTCCGCATTTTGCCTCAGTCGTGCGACGTGACAGTCTTTCAAAATTGTCATCATTATCTGCCAAAATGCGAGATTTTTACCCAAAAAAATTTTAAATACGTTTTATTTTGGACAGAATATTATCTTAATACCAAATGTTTAAATTGTCTAAGCTAACTACTTTTTTAAAGCTGACAAATTCGACAAGGACCTTTCGATGTGCCTCTCTAAACTCGAAAAAACACTTGGTTTTCATTTTTTCGAACTCTTTGACATACTGTAATTTTGAATGGCGGCAACAATACGATGTTGATGTCTTTCGGCTCATGAAATTGTACTGTAAATATATTGCTGTCTCTGACCATTCCCAAATATCAGTTTTCGAGCTGTAAAGGAGACACATCAGAGGAATATTAATTCTGCAGGAGAAAAAAAAAACCCTGAGTAAACCCGAAAGAGTAGGGATTCATATGATTCAACTACTGTTAACTGAAAAGCGTAAAAAATAGCGCGTACCTCTCCAACTTCACTTTTTACACAACTACAGAAAGTTCCAGTAGCGCAATTAGCGTGCAAACACAAACGTACAACTGTTGACGCACAGCCTACACAACAGTCAATGAGGTTACATGAAAGCGGCAGGTCTATTCCATTTAGCCCAACTCACCAATAAATACGTTTCGATTGTTGTAAATTAACAAACTGACTGAAAAATCAATTACAGTTTTGCACACCCCCCCACCCCTCCCTTTTAGTCCAATTTATGTAAGTTATGGGTAAACACCAAGTGGTACAAGGCTACTTTTTTTATTGTTAGCAAGCCCCTACCACGTACTGTGCCCGAAAAGCAACATTTTAGAGGATAGAGAGAAAAAAAACCCAACTTGTTTCATACTCTTAATAATTGTTCTTAGATCAAGAGTGCTTTGCTTATTTCATTGTTTGATTGCTCGTCTGTTCGTCAGTGTGTGTGTTTTTGTGCTTTTTGGATCATGTAGAAACTGAGTTTTGTTAAAATATTTCTTGAACACATGCAACTGACAAAGCAGATTAGGGAACGGCAATTTAAAGTATCAAAAGATTCTGGGCTTAGTGCACCTGAACAGCAGGCCGAAAAATAAAATGTTACATGCATATTATACAAGGCCGTACACAGCTGTGTCGTAACAAGTCTCGATCTTCTGCTGGTCAGGCCACCAAGACGTCGCTGGATGGACGGTGTAACGGACACCATTCGCACCCACGCCATGACCCTCTTCCAAACCACCTAACTAACAGACCATTGTTTCTCTCTGCGACATGCGCCGGTATTAGTGGAAGGAAAATGCAGATAATACATGATAAAACTGGACAATGTCAACTACAAATTAGACGTTTTTCTTCTACGAGGCAAGAACAGCAGCCTTGTCACCTACACGATTATGTTGTTACTTCATGCCCTGAACAGTAGCTATGCGTCTTATAATATTATATTAAGTGTCTATCTTATATTAAAATGTCAACGCTCTCTCTCTCTCTCTCTCTCTCT